CTAGCTTCAATTGACTCATGATAGACATAACAGGATATTTTAATAAGACGAAGATTATCAGAGCTATGTGATACATTAGCGCAATAACCTTACTCACCATTTTATTTTTATATATAAATGCTCTAAACAAGTATACATGTGACCAGATTGTCTGAAATGTATTACGTTAATATACTACATAGTTTTATTAACCTTTCTCTTTTTTATTACATTATCTAAATTTATCAATGGGACTAACTGTTTTCAACATTTATCTACCAAATGATTATGATTAATCAGTAATGAGTTATAAACAAGAAATCTTATCTTAATGTCATGCAGGTATACTGTATAGATTACCTTGATAAATGTTATAACTTGTGGCCGAGTGTATGCCTTGTGAACGTATGACGTGATAAGACCGCCAATTAGAGAGCAATGAATTATCGATTGCAACAGTGATACACGAAAACCGTATGAATAGTCTTGAGTACTTATCAGTTCTGCTTCAGCCTAGCCTAGCCAGTTAAGTCCAGAACACCAATAACAGCCTCTGCAATATGAATCATTATTCTCAAACATACTGGGTTTATATACCAAACAAAATGACCACATCGTACCATAAAATAGAAAATAACATTTGTACAAGATACAGCCAAATGTGGCTGTGAATAGGGGGAACAGTAATTAATAGACTGGGTATAACTCAGGAATGGTAAATCGTATGATAATAGTCTATAGGTCAAAATAAAGCTTATAATAAGAGGGACACGAATATGAATAGTTTAGTTACTAAGCAATTATGTAATAAGAAATCTACTTATCATATTGGTCCATAAATATTCCTCTAAGTTACCAATCATAATTCTCCACGGGATATAATAATAAGGCCCTAAGTAACAAATTTTTGGTATATTTATTCTGTGATTATTAATCTAATCCATAATCAACATTTTGTAGTATCTGGGACATGTTAATTGTATATACTTGAAACTCAGTGTTAATTTAAATAGTTTTAGAATATTTTAGTTGAAATCATGAGTCAATTAATGCTAGACAACCATGGAAAACCTGGAAGCACTGGACAGCCATTTCATCCTATTGTGAGACTCTTCAGCAATGCCGCATCCACGATCTCGCCTTACGAAATTCGCACCCAGGACCTATCAGTCCCACGCATGAGCGTTTAACTACTAGATCACTGAGAATAAACTAATAAGTTCTTTTATAGATTTTTTTCTTATCACCATGTAAGTTTGTAATTGAACTTTCATTTAAATTAAACTTATTACTGAATAATTGATTGATTTACCATATAAAGTTTTATTTATAAAATATTGTAAGGTCATGAAATGTAACGACCAGAAAAAGAAATTATTGATTAATGCACTGTATATTCTTTATTTGTTTGGTTTTTCTTTTACTCATACATATTGAAATGATACTAACAATTGATGCTAGACCACCATGGAAAACCTGGAAGCACTGGACGGCCGTTTCGTCCTATTATGGGAATCCTCAGCAGTGCGCATCCACGATCCGGCCTCGCGAGGTCTAGCTTCAATTGAATCGTGATTTCAACTATGAAAATACTAAAATCTCTACAAGACTCCTTCTGATCTATAATCATATGCTCACTAGTGACCGACTTCAAGAGATATTTCCTGGAGTTCTAGTGGGAAGCAGTGACCAGTGGAGTTCAACCACGTCTGTTGTAAAGATATTAACTCACTGAAGAAAATTAGTGAACGGTTGCTCAAACTTCGTTGATTGGTTGAAGTTAGACATTAACACCGTTGGATGCCTGCTCAGTGGTCTATCGGTTAAGTGCTTTGGCATGAGACTGGTAGATCCTGGGTGTGAATGTCGTGAGGCGGGATCGTGGATGCGCACTGCTGAGGAATCCCATAATAGAACGAAACAACTGTCCAGTGCTTCCAGGTTTTCCATGGTGGTCTAGCTTCAAATGACTCACGCTTTCAACTATGAAAATACTATATACTCCACAAAACCCCTTCTGATTAACCAAAATTAACCATAATCGAAATTCATTGTAGGATGGTTGTTATAATTTATGAGTCGATGATGTTAACTATTCTTCATTAAAATATATAATTTAGTAAATTTATTGAATAGCCTATTTACTTTATTTCGGAAATAGTTTCTCAGTTATAATATAGAGTATGTTTATTTTGTATTAGTTTTATTATAACTAAATAATTAGTCTAACTTATTACCGAACTAATTGGATATAGATCTTGTAATTAACGAAATATACCAAACTCTTACAATAATGATTTACTTAAATAAGAACTTCCGTCTGTATTAGAATGAATAGTTTCACAGTATTTGGACGCTGAGTTGATATCGGAAATATTCCCTTGAAAAAGCTTGAACCAGATTGCCAGGTGAAACGTTGGATTTATTTCCAATTCATTCACTGAGGTTTAGCAAATATATTCTTCCTATTTAATGATCAACTTACTTGTTTTTATGCCCCTAAATGCCCTGGTACGGCCGAGAGTGGGGAGAGTCTGCTCTCCCTCTCCAAATGCTCTCACATGGCCACGCTTAAATAGCCTCTACCAGGGAAGTCCTACTCACTGCCTTCTCGTGGCATTAGTGTTGTTTACGAAATTGAGAGGACGGAAAGCGAATGCTCGGCGCTTTAATCGGATTGGTAGACACGGAAAGCTCACATAGGGGAGTTGGAAAACCCTGATTCCAAACCAATGGTGCATATGGACTCCAGTATCCTGAAGGAACGAATGGCATATGAATCAATCTTTAGTCACCGGCTACCATGGGACTGCATCTCCTTACGATGCTCCACTGCCTTGTGGATCAGACCTTTAGGTCGAAGGCTCGGGTTGTGGTCCCCTAATAAAACCACTTGATTCTGTCCTGGGCACATGGACAGTATCACAGCCCTCACACAAATCTCATTTGATTTGTGTGGCGCATATGTATTTGGTGCCCCTTTGTACCAATATTTATGTGTTCAAATAATAATAAATGATAATTTTATGATACATAAAACAAATGTATTTCCATGTAATTTAGATAAATGAAACTTTTAATGATATTTCATTACAACCTTTATCCCTTATAGTACTAAATAAAGAATAAATTTCAAGTAGTAAGAAAACCCTTTAAATATTAAGTTTCGTAATGGTGAGTAATCAACTGGGGCAGTAATTGGTGCCATTATATCCATCGTAATCAATAATTGTAGCCCCTCCGGGGGTTACAGCCGGTCCCAAGCCCGGATAAAGGAAGAGGGTTCGGCAAGGGATTTGCGACCCCATCCTGTAGAAAACCAACTCGCTCAAAAGACGCTGACCAGAAAAAAATAACTTATCACAATATCATAGATATATATTCATTCTATCATACTGTAAATCTTGATTACAAATATTTCTTCATACGTATCTTTTTATTATGTCCTTTTGAACTATATTCTTAATAATCATTCTTTTTCATTCTTTTGACCATTTTAGTATTGACCTTTTAAATTTTGCTTCGTTGTGCTAATGTGATCTACCAACTTGGATCAATACGCATAAATGTCAAGCTCTACGTTTATGATGATTGATTAACTAAACAATCGTCAGCAAGGTAAGCCTATAAACATGAAGGAACTGATGTTCCAAATGAACCCTAAACCCATGTCACTCATTGACACAGTATAAGATGCCATTAATAAACTATTTGGGCAACCATCAGTCTTATATAGCCCTGACTTACTTAAATCAATGTTATCTTTGTCTGCTTATTTGGTTACGATCAAATGCTAACGATCAGGTTACTGTATATGTATTAGTAACTTAACATTCTGTGAACTACATTTCGATATTTGATTTTCAAAAGTAATCGGTAAGAAACCCTAGAACTAAGTTTGATACTAGTTGGCACTTGTCAGAGAAGTGTACCCAAAAATTTATGGTAACTAATGCTCACTACGCGATTCAATCGAAAGGCAACTCTATCAATATAGTTTAGTCAAAATTTAGGAATAGATGAATATGATACTGCTTATGTCTCAGAGATTTATCGATATAATGTCCGATATTTTTCGTTTTATTCTGTTTGTGGTTTTCTGTAATACAATTTTTAATGAGATCATGAACCAATCAATGTTTAGACTATTATTAGAAATGTTATAATGCTCGGAGATTTTTCATCTTTAGGATTGAGACGTCAATTTACCCTAGACAAATATCTAAACCATATACCCCCGAGTGTCTATTCTACAGGACTTTAATACAACTCAGATCAGGAACACGTGATTAGCCTGAATAGAACGCACACCAAAAACAGACCTAATTCAATAAAATCGAACAACAATCAATGATAATAATAAGGATAAGAAAATATATAACTGATCTAACGCCTGCCAGGCTATCTACAAGTCTGACTAATCAAACAATTAATCATCCTCGTCCACACATCAGAAAACCCGGAAACACTGGACAGCTGTTTTGTCCTAGTATGGGACTCCTCAAAAGTGGGTAATCGCAACTACACATGTGGGATTCAAATCCGGGGCTTTTGGTCTCTCATGCAAACACTTGACCTCCAAACCACTGAGCAGGCATCCAAAGGTGCTAATACTCAACTTCAACCAATATAATATACTGCGTGACCATCTTCCATTATCTTCTTTGGGTAACTGTCCCACACTAAGTTTTCACTAGTAGTCTAACATTGATTAATTCATGATCTCTACTCAAACTAAACAATCTCTACAACCCTATACTAACATTTTTAAAAAATCTTTGATTAAGATAAACAAAAAAAACAGTAGTCTAGTGGTTAAGCGCACGCACGCAAGACTGATAGGTCCTGGGTTCGAATCCCGCGAGGCCTAGCAGTCCCACAATAGGACAAAACGGCCGTCCAGTGTTTCCAGGTTTTCCATGATGATCTATCTTCAATTGATTTTAGATTTCAACTATATAAAAATTACTAAAATCTCCACAAACTCCCCCCCTTTCTGATGAAAACACAAAAATCCATTATGAAATTAATACATTTTTATTATAAATGAATTCAATTATTATTATTATTTTGACCATGTATGTTTCCATGGTGATTTATGCACATTTAATTAATAGAAATGACTATCACTTTTATGTGGTTTAACAATATCATAACCGAATCCTCTAACCGAATCTGTATTCATTGATTGTTCATTGATATTATTGATTATATTATTATTATTATTATTACTATTATTATTATTATTATTGTTATTACTATCAGTTTTAATATGATCTGTACATATTTCATCTTCATTATCCGTTTGAAGTTTTCCTTCATGATAAAGAAATAATATCTCACTTTTTTGTTTTAATAAAGTGGTCTTGACAACATATAAACTAATGGTAATAATCTATTATGAAAAATAATAAGAAAGAATAAAACAAACAAACATTTAATTAAACTATTATTATTGAAATCATGAGTTAGTTGAAGCTAGACAACCATGGAAAACCTGGAAGTACGGGATGGACGTTTCGTCCTATTGTGGGACTCCTCAGTGGTAGTGAGCATTTCACGATCTATGCCTCAAGAGATTCGAACTTAGGACTTATCAGTCTCTTAGATTAGATTAAATTTGAATGCAGGAAAAAAGGATCGAACAATATAAAAAGAATGCTTTACTTTAAGAGTTTTGTTGATGTATAGAAAATCTAGGGTATTTGTAAAAGTTTGGATGGTTTTGAGATTCTGGAAAGATCTGGAGCCTTTCTAAACATAATAGTAGGATAGGTAGTTTTCTAAACAGAAATGTGATATATAAATTTTCACTTTCTAGATGTTTCTGGAAAATATTTATTCAGTGCTGACTGGATTAAATGTTTCCTAGGGTTTTCAGGGCTCGAATGAGAGGAAAACCAAATTATTATTTGATGTCAGGTCACACAGTAACTTAGTAAACTGAAAATTGTACATTATATAGATCATTTACACAGATCCTTTGCGTTATCATTTACATACTCGATTATTCCTTTAATTATGTTTTTATTTTGGATAGTCTCCGATTTTCTTCTTATTCTCTTCATTTCAATATCCTACTAGAAGGCATTCCACTGCCGATTAATTCAACATACTACTTATATCTGTAAGCACAAGTAACATACATTACAGTGCTAGACATACGATCATAAATATATTTGTAATTGTTGACGTGAATAATATACATCCATTTTCATGAATTCACTTGGCATTCTTTGTTTGAATCCTACCATTGGTGTTTAGGACTGCAACTAGTCAGTTTCTAATTGGCATATGTGCATACTGTGCGTATTGCCTCGATATAGCCTTAATCCACAAGCATTATAAGCAAAGATGGACAGTAGCTAGCACTGCAATCCAGGACGCATGTTTCTTCCTGTTTGGGACTAATCAGCTGGATGTACCTGCATCTCAGAGTTGATGTTCACTCTGCGACTCTAACCTAGTATCTTTCGCTTCAAACGCCATCACGTTATGCTTGTGAATTAGGGCTATATCGAGACAATACGCACAGTATGTTTATATGCCAATTAGAGACTGATCAATTGCACTCCTAAACATCAATTGGAGGATTCAAAAAAACAATATCAAGTGAATCTAAACTTCACCCCATTACTCAAACACATGGCCATCAGGACTCAGTAGTTGAGTGAATAAGGCGATGGCGTTCAGAGCAAAAGGTATCAGGTTCGAGTCCCAGAGTGAACATCAACTCTGAGATGCAGGCAAATCCATCTGACGAGTCCCAAATAGGACGAAACGCGCTTTGTCCTGGATTCCACTGCTAGCCACTATCCATCTTTGCTTATAATGATGGAAACAATAATATAGATTGGAATAAATTGATTTCTGTCTATCTTACATAAATATCGATCTTTAATTCCTTACATGAAAACTGCAAAACTCTATGGAGAATTAATTTGTAAGGAGAACACTATCTTAGTATTAAAGTAAATTTCTATAGAATATTTCAAATTAGAACAATTTTCTTTGTCTTAAAGGTGTATTCTTCAGTTCTGATCATTCATTTTAATTAACTTAAGGTTTAGATATAAATTTATGATAGTGAACTGATGTAAATCCTATGTAGAATATGGTAAGGCAATTAATAAACTGACTGGTGTTCATTTCATTTATTAAAAAAACCTAAATTCAGAAATAGAAAAAAAGTCATAACGAAAACATTTTTCCTTATTACTATTAACTTACATGGGAGACAAGGTATACCAGTGTGTAAAATCTCTCAGAAATACTTGTGGTATCAAATATTGGATTATATGTTAGTATTTCACCGCAACCCTTGTAAGAGAACACAGAAAATTTAAATATTATAACGAGGCTACTGAAATTTTAAATAAGTAAGCAAATTTTATAAACAAAAAAATGTGTTATGGAGTTTGAATGCTTTGACTTACATTGTAAAATATAGTTTGAAATTAGACAGTGACACTGTTGCATGCAAGCTCTATAGTTTGTGTGTTAAGAGATACCGGGAGACTTGAATTCGGTTGGAAGTCATGGATGTACAGTGGTAAGGAGTACCGTACTAGGACGAAACGATCGTACAGTGCTATCAGATTTTCAGTGGTGGTCTAACTTAGATCGGTATGTGTATGTCAGATAAAAAAAGTTATCATAGGATGCTAAAATTTGTATGAACATGAAGTCATTCACTTAACTTCATACTTTATTCTTATCAACTCCACACGAAACAGAAAGCAAAATGAGAAGACAAACTAGAGCTACACAAATGAGTGATCCAATGAGTTATTATTTAATTAAAGCTTTCATTGAGAATTTTTATTCGCAAGAAAGTATTCACCATGGATTAGAATCAGCTGGACAACTGCTAGGAGCAAAAACTCTAGATAATTATTTGTTTCAATTTGGAGGAATTAGCGGTCAACAGGTTTGGCCAATGGCTGCTCCATAAGGGTTTGACTGTCTCATAATATTAATTAGAGACATAAAGATTAGGGATTTGATCTCATATGGAACTATGACTCCTTACTGCTTCTGAAAGCCACCTCCAACTTAGACTGTTATAAAATTCAATATATGTCCTTGGTTTCAAACACTTTAGCCTCAGTGGTCTACAGGTTCTGCAACACTGGTAGTAACAAAGCCGAAAGGGTCGGAAACGCAATTAGTAAACATCAATAATAAGTTACATAAAAATGAGTAAAGGTAAATTAATCAAATTAAGATTATTATTTTCAATAGATTCTACAACTGTATATTCAAATTAATAATCCAAAAAGTGATCAGGTTTAAGTCAAAGTAGATCCGGATGCTGCAGTAAGAAGACGAGGATGGTCAGAATTATGTGATATATAAGCGCGATACATTTCGAACAATCTGATTACGCATATACTTGTTAAGGAAGTCTATATATAAAAATAAAAGGTCAACTAGACAGATGGAATGTAAGAGAAAACAATGATTATAATGAAACTAATGTGAAACCCACCACGCCGGATAATAAACTAATATTACCAGGGTCAGTTTAATGTAAGGACAAACTGCTTTCGATCACACAAAGGGTGTTGGAAGTTTTCTTACGGCTAAGGATTCAATAAACCTTTTACACACCTTTTAACATTTTTGTACAACACCACAAAAGATCAATAGTATAACTTGCTTCAACTATATGTTTGACAATAGAGGACGATAGATGTTTATCATCTGATTTTATTGGGTCACTTGATTTTTATCAGTATGGGGATTTTTGGAGATCGTTAAATTTTTACAGTTGAAATCACAAGTTGATCTAACCTAGACCACCATTGAAAACCCATAAGCACTAGACGACCGTCTCGTTCTAGTATGGAACTCCTCAACAGTGAACATCCACGATTATTTCATTTTAAATTGTTTTTCCACCCATTTTGTATATATTCAGACACCCAAATTCGGAGGTCATGATAACTCTTCCTTATATATGTATGGTTACAGACACATTTAAGTTGTTAAACGCAGTGGGATGTGACGTAAACGTTTTCATGCGTTTCAGGTTTTGGTGAACGATAGACCTTGTTTTTCCTAGACAATGACCTTTGGTGTATAGTGCGTTTTCTAATAACTGATTTAATTCTTTGTTTGAATACAAGGCTATTTGACTTACTTCTGAAAAGTATGGTGATGTAGACAGGCTCACTTAATATTACCTTTCCATCGAGTCATGAACTTTAGAGGATACCAATTACCAATTAACTTTTTGTTCAACAACTTTACTGCGTCATAAATAGCGTCGTTTGTGCAAATACGATCAATCCTGTTAAATAGGCTCGTTATCAAACGCCAACTGTATTAAACTGGACAATAACTATTATAACCAAGGTACTCGCCTGTTCAAGTTGGCTTTCTAAAAATGGATTGTTTTCTTGAACCATCTCTTCTACTTATAAGTATGTCTAAGAGAGAGAGTTGGTCATACTTTTTCTCTTCATGTTAAAGAATGATGTGGTTTTGAAGGGTGTTAAGTTGATTAAATAGACAATGCATATCCTTCTTTCGTTCACATATAATCAAGATGTTATGGTAAAACAATAATTTATTGATGACCTTTAAGCAATCCCTTAGTGATCTTGGGAATGTCTACCTACTTACTAGGGCTAAATGAAGGTTATAAAGTAGTTTGACGAACAAGGATGGTTTGGTCGACCAAACCATCCAGCTCAGAGAACAAAACTCCATCAAACTATTATTCGTTCATACATCAGTGTTTTAATATGATGGGAATATTTCAGTGATTAAAATAAGATTACTAATGTAGAAGACAATTGAAACAAAAAGGCCTTATGATGTAATTGTTTGAAAGAAAGAGTTTAACAAAATTTTCTGATTCAATAATAGAACAAGTGTCACTACGGCAAGGCAAGATTGAGAACCATCTCTTTTTGAGCACATAAATCAGGTTTCTGATCCCCGATACCAGTGGCTTCAATGAACTTCATAAGACTAAAACTTGACTGTTTATCAGTCATTTTGAAAGACTGCAAGTTATGGACCTGATGTCCTGCATATAAGAGATGTTTAGTAATTGCGCTGTTTAATGCAGTTCATTCTCTTGTTTTACTACTTTTTATAACATATTCAAAAGGTCTATGATATTCCCTCTTTCCTGTTTAGTTAATATAGCTGCTCTGGCATGTACACCTTAATTCATAAACACAGTTGAAGATAACAAAGAAGGTGGTGCTTGTCGATTTTTGATTGGGTTATTGAACACATTGTTTTATACAGTCTTAACACTTTGGCTGCGGGGTAATTCCTGGTCAGTGCAATGCTAAGCCTTCTACTGATTGTGCTTGTGACGTCATCATCTTTGAAGTTAAGATTTATATATATATTAGTTTTTTTCATTAATTGTGTCTGTGTTCCTTCTCTTCATGACGATAAAAAGAGCTATATGTATGAAGCCTTAGAGTATGATCGAAGATATTACAAACTACTAAATAATATTAAATAGTATTGTTCAATGCATAAAAAGATTAGTGAAGAAAAGGTGGTTGTTAGGATGTGTGAAATGAACCCTTTTATTTAATATACCACTTCACAATCAAACTTTTGTTTCCCAGTTAATGACGAAAAGTAACTGACTAGAAATAGAGGCGTTTTATAAAAAGAGAGACTTACTTGAATAAAAGGTGGATAGTTTGAGTTTAATCGTGCACAATCTGGTAATCGATCATTGGTAAGATTTGGACAACAACTAATTGGTATTTTAATATCTAAAATAATATAAATGTTATTTATAATAATTCATTATGGTAAAGGGAAAATTTTAAGTTAAGAATTTGTGAGTTAGGATAACGTTATGAGTTCGTGTGAGGATGGTCAAAAGGTGCACGTGAGGAAGCTGTAAGAAGCTCAGAAGGAGCCGAATATATTTCATCCAATCAGCTCTTGGAAGAATATTCCAGCTTCCCTATTGGACAAATGCTAATAACCCCATAAGGTTTTTATTCAGCAATTGACATCAGTTGTATAATGCACAAAGGTTTGGTTTAAGTTTAATGGGTCTCTAGTTAAGATTACTATATTTAAGGTTAAGGTATCAGAACATTATTTGGCTATACATACATCCTTGGGTTTGTACTGAATCTCATTAAGTATTTTAACATATAATCTTTATTTGCAGTAGGTATTTCTGATAATTTAACTACAGTGCTTATCATTTAATGTAAATATTGAAAGAATCTATACGGGATGAGTAAAATGACTAATCGATCTCAATCCTAAACATCAGAGGAGGGATTCCAAAAATTAATTCCCACGTGCGAGATCATGGAGGTACATTGCTGAGGAGTGTCTGACTAAGATGTGTGTGTTGATTCCCAGACGACGGATCGTGAATGTTCACTTTCAAGGAATGCCATACTAAAAATACGTGAATTCCTAATGTTTAAATAATTTAGTGGCTATATGAGCTTAGTAGTTCCCTGGATAATGAATTGGTGTTTGAGATAACAAATATTGGGCCTCAAATTTAATGTAAACATCAGTTACAGAATGCAGGTGAATATGACTGACAAGTTTCAAATTGGACGAAACTTGCTTCTCAGATCCTCCTCTTGGATGAAATTCACTCATTATGGTTGTTTTTATTGTATTCCCTTAACCATTTTAGCAATCTACACTGGTTGGTAACATGCAGCTTTACAGTACTTATTTGTATTCATTAGTTATTCCATTTTACTTCCCTTTAATTACACAACTTATTTCGATCAAGCAATACTACCTATTTTCAATCAGTGGCTTTTAATGACTATTACTAGTAAATTTACTACTTTTGTTCAACAATATGAAGAGTTTTGAAGTTTACAAAACGGAATGAATTCACACAGACAATGATTGAAAACGTAAAAGCAGCTGACGGGTATTTGGTTCTAGTATAGTACTCTACAGAAGTGTAAAAATGCATTAACACCATTGGATGCCAGCTTAGTTGTTCTGGAGGTTAGGCGTTCGCGCGTGAGACCGATAGGTCCTGTGTTCGAATCTCGTGAGGCTGGATCGTGGATGCGCACTGTTGAGGAGTCCCACAATAGGATGAGACGGCCGTCCAGTGCTTGCAGGTTTTTCATGGTGGTCTAGCTTCAATTGACTAATGATTTCAACTATAAAATTACTAAAATGTCCACAAAAAACCCCTGCCAATATAAATGCAATCTCAAAATTAAAAGGAATCATGTGAAGCTTTTGTTTTTGATTGATCGGGATAAACTACATCGTCATCTTTAGTTTACACTGATTCAGTCAAGACGAGTCAATATTAACGGTTTCAATATCAGTCTATTTGTATTTACGATTAACCGATATCCAACACTCATAAACAATGTAGTTTACTATGAATGAGGTAGAAAATATTATCAATTCTAGAACTTACCATACGTTTTATTGCCATAAGTTACCATTCTTTTCCATTGTATAGTAGAATTTAACCATTCAGTGTAGTTATACATACCGCAACAATGAAACTAATCAATGAAAAACGGTAGTTGAAATGTTTTAAGCTCTATAACCTTTAATAGTTGTGACTAATGATGATTATAGAAAAGGGTCACAATTTTCTTTTAGAAATGTTAAACAATAAAATGGGTTAATTTATTTTATAGATTTTTGTTAACTACTTACAATCCAGTAATAGTAGTACAAATTATTTACAACTAATATACAAGCATCAGAAGAGGTTTTGTGGATATTATAGTAATTCAAATAGTTGATATTATGAGTTAATTGAAGCTAAACCATCATAGAAAGCCTGGAACCATTGGACAACCGTTCCATCCTATTGTGAGACTCCTCAGCAGTGAGCATCCACGATTCCGCCACATGAGATTCAAACCCATGACCTATCTGTCTCGCTCGCGAGCTTTTAATATCTAGACCATTGAGCTTGTCAGCATCTGACGGTCTTAATGTCTAACTTCAACCGATCCACAAAGTTGAGCGACATACATAATATATAAATGAAACCATGAGTTAACTGAAGCTAGATCACCACGGAAAACCTGGAAGCACTGGACGGCCTTTTCATCCTATTGTGGGACTCCTCAGATCCACGAAAGCACTTCTGATATATATGCATATATATATTATATTTATGGAGATTGGTAGAATAATAAAAACAGTTATGAAGGAATCATAAAATGACAAAATGAATTCATATTTATTTATGGAAATGCAAAGAGAAAATTTCAAAAGTCATGGTTACATATTTCTAGTGAATAAGAATTTATGTCATAATTAAGTAATGACGACCATAAAATTGTACAAAATGACTGTGTCAAGTGAGTAACGCTAAACAATGACCAAAGACTAAAAGAATATTAGAAGAGGGGTTTGTGGAAATTTTAGTAATTTTATGTAGTTGAAATCATGAGTCAATTGAAGCTAGAAAAACCTGGAAAACCTGGAATCACTGAACAGCCCTTACGTTCTATTGTGGGACTCCTCACTGGCAATGCGCATCCACGATCTCGCCTCACAAGATTCTAACCCAGAACCTATCGGTCTCGCACGCGTACGCTTGACCAACAGATAGAATTAGTTATAGTTAGATATTAACACCGTTGGATGCAGGCTCATGATTTCAACTATATAAAAATAAAAGAATGGAAAAAAATAGGATACTCCTTAATTGATTGATGAGAAAGTGAAGTTACCAAGGTAGTGTTAAATCTATATCTATTTCATTTCAAATATGTGACACTGAAGATCTAGGTACCTATACGATTCATCCTTATATTTAAATAAGTGAATTGTTCTATTATTGCCAATCATTTTATTGTTTATTTAGGTAACATATGCATACGCATATGCTGGTATCTTTCATAAGTTTAAATGTTGATTCATGTTTTAAGTAAATTGAGTAGGCTGAGACTCCGTTATTCATGTCGTACTTCTTATTGTTTATCAGTGTAAATGAATATCTGAAATAAACTATTTCAATTTAGTTCCAAATATTATACTTAAGCTATCTCCGTTTGATCAATGACTGTAATAAAAAGTAAACATACATTAAATTGAAATAGTTTATTTCAGACATTCATTTACACTGACGAATAGTAAAACGTGTGAGATGAAGAAAGGATTTTCAGCCTACTCAATTCGTTGAAAATGTGACTCAACATTTATAGGCATCAAAGATGTCAATATGTATATAATTAAATGTGCACGATTATGCACATACATACTCAATGTGACATATATAAACGATAAATTGATTCATCTACATATTGTATGTTTGAATCACCGCATTGATGTTTAGGAATTCATTTGATCAGTTGCATATTGTCATATGTACATTCTGTGTGTATTGCCTCGATATTGCCTTGAGTCACAAGCCTTAATTCACAAGAATGATAAGCAAAGATGGGTAGTAGCTAGCAGTGAAATCCAGGATGTGCGTTTCTTTCTATTTTAGGACTCTTCAGCTAGATGTATCTGCATCCCAGAGTTAATGTTCACTCCGGGATTCGAACCCAGTAACTTTCGCTTCAAACGCTACCGCGTTATCCACTCAGCTACTGAGTCTTTATAGACACTTGCTTGTGCAATGGGGTGAAGTTTAAATTCATTTAATATTGTTTGTTTGAATCTTCTCATTGAAACGTGTGTCCTGGATTCCACTGCTAGCCACTGTCTATCTTTGCTTATAATGCTTGTGAATTAAGGCTATATGCACAGTATGCACATATGTCAATTAGAGACTGACAAGTTGTAGTCCTAACACATCAATAGGAGGATTCAAACAAACTATACCAAGTGAATTTAGGCTTCACCCCATCGCACAAGCACATGGCTGTCAGGACTCAGTAGCTGAGCGGATAACACGATGGCGTTTGAAGCGAACGGTACTGGGTTTGAGTCCTGGATTACACTGTTGATCACTCTCCATGTTTGCTCACAGTAAATTTTGTTCTATTCTTTCTTCTTTCCTTATACTGATAAACTTTTGTGTATAATCATCAACTCATGAAAAATTTTGTTGATAATCTTTCTTCTATCATTGTTGTTATTCTGTTAATATTCATTAGTATCATAAAAAAGTATTCACATTGATTGTAAATACTTAATACTGTTGTTTCTAAATTTTAAACTATTGACAAGAATCTGTAATATAAATAAATTCATCTTATTCTATTGCACCTCCCAGTCACAGTAACATAGTGAAGCCTAGTAGACCTTTCATGAGAAGAATGCTACATCGAAGCACGGCACAACTACTGGGGCTCAATAGCTGTATTTGCATTGCTTAGGCAAAATCATTACATCTTCGTTTCTTTCTCTTTCTTTTTGGGCAGACTCATTTATTCATTCTTTTTGAACCAATAATAACTGTGCAATAATTCTTTGTAGCCTTCTTAATCATTTATAGGTATAGGTAGATTGGACGATTAGGCCGATCTCCACCACTAGGGTTACCGCTCACGTTAAGTCATGAAAACAGTCCCACTATCCAGGAGGTACGACAAGGATGTGGGAGTCTGGTTTCATCTAATTCTATTACCTTATTTATTTTTACTTTAGTAAAATATTATTTTTCTTTAGATAATAATAACACTGTAGTAAATCATAAACTAGACTTTTCTATTACTCTAGGTAGATTTTACATCTATTACAATAACATGATAAGCAAAGATGGATAGTGACTAGCAGTGGAATCCAGGACGCGCGTTTCGTCCTATTTGGGACTCGTCAGCTGGTTATACCTGCATCTCAAAGTTGATGTTCACTCTTTGCTTATCATGCTATATCGAGGCAATACGCACAGTATGCACATATGCCAATTAGAGACTGACCAGTTGCAGTCCTAACACATCGATGGGAAGATTCAAACAAACAATACTAAGTGAATTTATTACTATAACAGTCGTCATATATATATTTTTTCAATATACCAGTAATGAAATTTATGCTTGATAGTTACAAAATATAAAACTAACACTAATACTGAATCCGTGAGGAAATGTGAACACGAATAACCAAAATGACGCAATAGATTATGTAATACTAGTAACATATCCCAAATGTGGAAAGAAAGCAGTTAGGAGTTCTATGCTTGAACACCCAATCGACTGTCATCATTCTACGGATCCACAGTTTGATTTTAAGGTTATTTATATGATTCATTCAAGTCTACCTAGACTTCTTCGTATCCAACTCTTAAAAATAGCTGAAGCTCTTACCATCCATCAGCTTAAACCAGAACTATGAGTACAAATGAAGTATATCTTATCGTTGTCGTTACAATGACGAAGATTATTAGAACTGTGTGACATATTAGAGCAATACATTTGGAATAATCTGATCACACATTTCCTTGTTAAAAACATTTATATATAAAAATAAAAGGTCAACAATATTGGAAATGGGGGTAAGAATAGACAAGAATAATAATAATAATAAACATAATGTGACAATATACAAGAACTTTCGTCTAAATTAGAGGGAATAATGAAAATAATTTGACACCTAATCACTCTGGATAATAATCTAATATTACCAGGGTAGGTTTAAGGAGAGAACAAACTGTTTTTGAATACACAAAGAGGGTTTGAATTTTCGTATGGTTAAGGCTTCAATAAACCTTAGTATACACCCTTTTACACTTTTATACAACACCACAAAAGCCGAGTTAAGATCAATCTTATGACCTGTTTCGATTATATGTTTGGCAATAGAGGATGATGGATGTTTATCCTCTACTCTTATTGGGTCATTTGGTTCTATTTCTTTTTGAAACCATTTTGGTACCATTTTTTTGAATTCCTTGAAAAAGCTTGGACCAGAATGCCAGGTGAAACGTTGGATTTACTACAAAATTCATTGGCTGAGATTTTACAAATATATATTATTCCTATATAATGTCTTACATCAACTCGGTGCTCAAATACTGTGAAACTATTCGCTCTAATTTAGACGAGAGTTCTTATACATTTTGGTACATGTTCTCCCACCCTAATTTTCAGATCAAGATTGCTCCTCCCTATGTATGTTTGACCACACACACATTTAAATTGGTAAACGCAGTGGGATGTGACACAATCGTTTTCATGTCTTTTAGGTTTTGAATGAAGCATAGACGTCGTTCTTTCTTTGATAATGATCTTCGCTGCACAATACGTTTTATTGATGACAGATGTAAGCCTTTGTTTCAATAAAAGGCTATTTGATTCACCTCTAAATGGTAAGGTGATGCAAACAGGCTTTTTCTCTACCAAGGCTACAGTAGGTCTTGCTGTGCCCTGAACTTTCCATCTATTTATAAATTTAAGTGGATAACCATTCCTCATTAATGTCTTGTATAACAACTTAGTCAGTCAGTCAGTCACAACGTAGAACTTCGTACGTACGTACATCAGTTCGAGTTGCCATACCACATTAGCACAGAGATGCAGTTGTCGATTCAAATCCCATAGCGGTAGAAGTAGTAGGAGTATAATCAGAAATCCAAAAGATTAGGGTTTGAAGAAATTATTGAAGGAGTATAGTACAGTGAAATAAATTTGGAAAGAGAAAAACATAAAGACATGAGGAATTCAGAAGATTAGAATTTGGTAGAACACAAAGAGTGGATGGACTTTCGCCATTGCAAACGATTTTGAGCCATGTCATTCAAGGTCTCTAACCATCGGTTGCTATCATCTCGCGAATCCCAACCAGGTAGTCTACACCTACCAACATGGCCCAGTCCACTTGTCAGTGACTTCATGGATTTGTGCCACGTTTTGGTCTGGCCACCCCTAGCTTTCTTCCAACCTACTCCTACACCATGAAACAACTTAACATCATCATCAATAGTGTCGTTTGTGCAAATACGATCAAGCCTTTTATTTTTATATATAAACGTTCTTAACAAGTATACTATGTGTGATCAGATTGTTCGAAATGTATTGCGCTAATATATCCTCACATGGTTCTGATAACCTTCGTCTTCTTATTACATCATGAATATTCATCATATCACCTTATTAATTTTTACATCTCTATGACCTTTAATTATGGTAGCAAAAAAAACATTTTAATCATCTTATTATATTCATTAAGTCTAATGTTATTATTTGTATTACATAATCTAGTATTACATAATCTTTCTATTACGTCATCTGGGTTATTCGTGTCCACATATCCTCACGGAATTAGTACTTTAACAAAACATTTTTCACATATATATGATTGTACCGCTTGATAGTAAATTCGTTGAAAAGTGATCCCCCTTCGCTGAAATTCGTGTTTTAAATTCATATTGTTGAAATGGAAATTATCTGTCAACTGTATAAGATTGTCTATTTTATATACGTATATTATCATTTGGTTGAAAATGATGTTGATAATTTCCAATACTGAAGTAAACATATTGATGACTGCTGAGGAGTCCCACAATGGGACGAAACGGCTGTCCAGTGTTTCCAGGTTTTCCTTGGTGGTCTAGCTTCAGTTGACTCATGATTTCAACTATGAAAATATTGATGACTGTTAAAAACAAACTATAGTAACGGGATGAACTAATATTATTCTATGTTTAAATAGATGAAATATGTCTATCAATGGTATGCAGGACACACGTTTGGTCCTATTCGAGACTATTCAGATGGATGATATCAACAACAGGATGATCCAACTTATTATGATTTGAAATAAAGTCTATGTACGTTGCATATATGAGTGATTATATTGGATTCAGTAGCTAAGTGTGTAATATGTTGTCGTTCAAAGATAAACGTACTGGGTTCGAATCCTAGGGTGAGTATCAAATATAGGATGTGAGTAAATTCAGCTGACAAGTTCCAAATAGAACGAAAATAAAATCTTGAATTCCTCTACATTTCACTGATTTTTTGGATAAAAGCTAATTGTCCCACATTAATTTTGGATACATATGCTACGTCACGAACGATTGATCTTTGAACACTGAAAATTCTCCATTGAATGTAACTTCCTTATATAATCCAATCATAACTCACATTCTGAACTTCCATCAATCCGTAATATAGGTAAATGGTTAGGAATGGCCGTAACTAACCACATTATTACTTCTTACACAGTTTTGACGTTGTCAAACTAGGAAATCAGTAATTCTTCAATAAAATTCAATCATTCAGTAAATGATCTTGAGTGTTGATAGAGATATGAGGGCCATTATCATTTCCCCGTTTCCCATACTGTGGAAGGGTTCTTCTGGAGGTACGTGTAAAGGAAATTAGGTCGGAGGTGGTCTTAGTGACCCATCATTAACCCCATTTCCTTTTCAGGTACCTCCAGAAGAACCATGGTGCCCAAGAGACAACTACTTGAGGTCGATCACATACGACCATTTTGTGAGTAATTTTCTTGTTAGCTCCGTACCTGATGAGATCATACCGCCGGACACTAATATCTGCAGGATAAGGCGAGGTGTGCATTTTTAGAGTCAACCTTTTCCAACCCCACCCTTCCTACTGGAAAGGCGGAATCTCTGTTATGTTGGTTGTCTAAAGGAAACATCTGACTGCCGTCACACCCCTGTACAGTCAACAGTACGACTTCGCCTTCGAACCTTGAGTCTGCTGCTTTTAGTCTAAACGCTCTTCAACCGACCTGTCTGGCATGATAGGACTTTGAGGAACTATTGTCCCAGCTAGTATAGCTCGATTGGTTCATCACGATAGGCAAGCCCAAACACCACGTCAAGTTAGCAGCAATGGTCCGGTCCAATAGAACTAGAGACTTATGAATATGATTGTTATTTAATGAACTGTATTACTGTATAATGTGAATTATCTTCACACACTGGTTAAATAAACAGCTGAATTCCTTTTTCTTACAGTTGCTGTTTGTTTTATTCAACTTACATGTTGATGAACATAATTGAACAATAAAGTTGGAAAATTATTTGTTTCAGCGCCTGAATATTGAATTTGAACTTTTTGTAATTCATCTAAAAACATCCCTACACTCTATAAAGGAAGAATACAAATAAGAGAAAAGATTAGTCGAATCAATTTTTCGTAGTTATCATTATTCATATTATAATAAACTACTTAAAATGATAAAACGATAAGTAGTCAGATGTATACGGGGTGTTATTGAATAGTTTGCGGGTTTCTTTTTCATTGCAAATTGGATTGAAGTTAAGGTTGAATGTTAACCGAGTGAGGCTAATGGTTAATAGTTCACAAGGTGTTATATCTAGAGCCTTGATTCTTAGTATGCCGCGTACTACTAGACTACTTGAACGATAGAACCCGCAACGTCACAAGAGAGAGAACAGAAGACTAGTAAGTAGGAACTTTTATTCCCCAAAACAGTGTCAAAATACAGTACTGAAATCTTGTGTATTTATAGTATTTTGACTGAGAGTAAATCATCATTTAAGACAACCAATAAGTGAATAGGGGTCATTCTTATCCATCTAATGGGCAAGCTACACGACGACATTCTAGAATATTCCCCTATCAGTGATTGGATGGAATGTCTGTGGTTCTTCTTGGGCTTCTTAGGGCTTCCTAGAGTCTACCGACGAGCCGTCCATACACCTCCCCTCTTTGAAGTTTGAGACGTATGACATTGTTGTTGCTCTCCTTTTTCTGTTCAGCACCCTTGTCGGCTGTGCGATTTCACTATTAAGTTTTCTAAATCGTTGGTTGCGGCATTCTTCCGGGCTTTTCTGCGTTATATCCACCAGCATGTGAAACTGTAGTCGTGTATCTGTCGCTGTTCTATGATCTTTCCTAATTTGATTAATGTGTCTGATTCACTTTCCGTCCCTTCTCCGCACTAAATAAAGTACCTTCCCGACAAAGTGCTCGTCAAGTCATACAGCGGAAAAATCGTTGGGAACCGGGAGTCATTGAAAAGAGAATGGGAAATGTTCTATGCAAGGTGCGTGGAACTTTTGGAACGTGGATCAGACACATTAATCAAATACACAGAGAAAAAAGGATTCTAGACACCGTAGATAGTCAAGTGAGGCTCCCGCTAAAAATAATTACAGATACTCCATTGGCAAGAACCCCAACAGACACCCATAGACATGGGATACCAAGGAAGTCCGAACGCCGTAGAAAACCTGTTACCAAGCTGCAAGTAAACCCGGAGAGAAAATCTTATTCGGGGGAGGTGTTGAGTCGACTTCCGGAGAACTTCGACGGAGCCTCCAGAGGCCCAAAAAGGAGCCGAAGAGCCCCAGCCAATCAGAGTACGATGGGGCATTCTAGAGTTCCAACGTGGCGGGCTACTGTTGGTCGGTAGCATAATATGTCGTTAATGGATTGGCTGAAATAGGATGTTGATTTAACATACGCTAACATCTATAAATACCCATGATTTTCTGTACAGGATTGAACCTTGCAGTAAAGTGTTTCTCTCATACTCGTGTCTTCTCTCTGGTGTTCAAATCGCTGAGTAGTTCTAGCCTGTGGGTTACCATAATAGCTTAGGAAACGAATATAGCGTTCAATCGACAAGACTTATCAATCTCATTGCACAAGCAAGTGGCTATCAGGACTCAGTAGCTGAGTGAATAACGTGATGGCGTTTGAAGCGAACGGTACTGGGTTCGAGTCCCAGAATAAACATTAACTCTATAACATTAACTGCTATAACATGATCTAGTTCGTGTATGGTTAACCGTTTGTGTTTCCAATGTAGTGGTATTAATGTTGGAGTGATCCCAAAAAATTCTTGAAAAAAGTCAAAAATAAGGCCCTGAAAACTCTGAGAAGTATCTTATCCAATGAGCGTTCAATAGAAGTTTCTCAGAAACATCTTGAAAGTGAAAAGTTACATGTCGCGCTTCTAATTGGATGATTATATATACTGCTACGATGTTTAGTAGCGTTCGAGGATTTTTCGGAAACTCAAGGTTATTTCAAATGCTATAAATACCCTAGATTTTCTGTATATAATTGAACATTGAAGTAAAGCGTTTCTTCCATATATCAAGCCTTTTCTCTTGTGTTCAAGTCGCTGTATAGATTTCGCCTGAGGATTAATAGAAGAGCTTAGTAACAGGATCTAGCGTTCAACTACAAGACTCATTAATTATAAACATTGTCATCCGGCTTAGTCTTATTACTATATTATTGTAATATACATCATCGAAACGAGTAATACTGTCATTCTTCACAACTGACTACATAACTGAACTATATTTGTTACGTCAGTTGACCTACTTAATATCAATGTGACATAAAAATGAACGTCATCAACCTCCATATGACTAGTGATTATTACAAATTTAAAACTAAAAGAGAAAGATTACTTCAGCGAAGAGTTCTCTTTATGGCGAATTCACTTTCAAAGCTATACAATCGCAAATATATACTTACTTTTCAGGATGGTAATTATAATAAGAAACTCAATAATCGAACACCGTGTGAACACAGATCACTCAATCAAGACGAATTCCGCATTCAAAATCATCTACAAGGTAAGTAGGAGTCTTCCAAAAGCAGTCATATTGCATCTTCTTAACATTGCCGAAGAAATAGCCATACGTCTGGGAAAAAACAGAATTGTGTGTTTAAAAGAGACTGATACAACCTCTTCTTCTACTATGGTCTTGATATCTCATAATCTTTTTTCTTCATATTATTCACCCTTAACAGCCATCTTCTTCCCCTTCCATCTTCTCCTTAAACCTTTTACCTCCACCTGGTTTATTTCTGTTTCTATTATTCGCTTGATTGCATTTCATCTCCATTCCAACATTTTATCTTATCATACTGAGCCATCCCTTGATAATTTAACTATCTATCTTTATGATGAATTCACTGAAAAAGGGAACTCTTTGCTGAACCAGTCTTTCTTATTTAATGTCTTAATGAGGGTATTTCGTTTACATTTTAAGCTATCACATAACAAGGCATATTGAATGGAATGATTTTTCTTTTTTTTTTTTAAAAAAAAACCCAACTTACTATTTTGGGATCTTTATAAATCCATGTCAAAAATACGGCAGTATCCGCAATTAAAAGGCCAATTAATACAAACATATTCTGTAAACAAACATAGAAAGTAAGCATGTCCAAAATGAATTTATCAGAAGGAGTTTTATGGAGATTTCAGTATTTTCATAGTTGAAATCATGAGTCAATTGAAGTTTAGTGGTTAGGCGCTCGCGTGCGAGACTGGTAAGTCCTGGGTTCGAATCTCGTGAGGTTGAATCGTGGATGCTCACTGCTGAGGAGTCCCACAGTGAGACGAAACGGCTGTCCAGTGCTTCCAGGTTTTCCATGGTAGTCTAGCTTCAATTGACTCATGATCACAACTATATAAGATCTAACTACAGTCAGATCAAGGGCCACACAACTGTATTGTCACTCTAATATGGAAATTAACAAATTTGAACAATATATAGCATTCAATGATATTTCAGTGAGCTCTAGCCAAGTTATTTATTCGTTTAAACTTATCCGTATCTTGGATGACTGAACTATTTACTGAGCTACAGTATAGTTAAGGACAACAAATCTGAATCAATCGATTCACACTATATAAGTGACATATATAATAGTAGATTGATTTTTGCACAATTCGATTCTCTTTGTTTCCAAATGCATCATTCATATAGTATGATCCAATTTATTCTTTTCAGACAATCAGAAAGTAGAATATATTAACCATTACTTTAATTTAAACTAGAATAGGCAACTATCTCAAGGTAGGACTTTGATGTTAAATTACGTAAGTTAAGCAAATATATCATTCCAGTACAACTTCAAGAGATTAACATCTACATTTTCAAGTCCAAATTAAAATTACACACCTTATTACCTTTACTACAGTATTCTAGACTGATTTTACATTTATTGTGTAATTGTTACAAGTCTTTCGATTGATGCTTATGTAATGCAAAAAACTGAATCATTTCTTTAAATTCACTTAGTATTGTTTGTTTGAATCTTCCCATCGATGTGTTTAGGACTGCAACTGGTCAGTCTCTTATTGGCATATGTGCATACTGTGCGTAATGCATCGATATTGCATTAATTCATGAGTATTATAAGCAAAGATGGATAGTGGCTAGCAGTGGAATCCAGGACGTGCTTTTGAAGCGAAAGGTAGTGGGTTCGAGTCCCAGAGTGAACATCAACTCTGAGATGCAAGTACATTCAGCTGATGAGTCCCGAATAAGACGAAACGCTCGTTCTGGATCCCAATGCTAGTCACTATCCGTCTTTGCTTATAATGAATTATTTCTTGTTCAATGTTTGAAAATCAGCAATCAATATCACATATTGTATTCTCTAAAACAATTGCTGATTCCTATAAATTAAGTTTGTTACTAACTTCACGTAACTATTTAATCCGAATGTATAGTTTATGGATTTAATTTTAAATAACAGGACGTTAATTTATACCGCAGGTTAACATTAAAGAATGAAAAGTGGACATATAATGAAAGATAGGGCTTATGAAGATTAATCCTGATGATGATGATGAAGATATTCTGTCATTTTGAGAAGTGCAATAATATATACCGGCCTATATTTCTAATTTTCCTAAAGCTTTGAAATAATGAGGTTCTTATTAAATTCATTTGTTGAATAACCGTCTGGCCTTCAACCAAACTGACTTCATAAATTATGGTTTTTGATTTCAGAGATATGAAGAAATTCTTTATGATTTTAGTCACATGTAGGTGACAACTTTAATATTGAAAATCATTTTATTATGTTGTGTTCCCTGCCTTTTTTTCGTTGAGAACCGATCAATGTTAGACCATTATTAAAACTAGGAAACACTGGGCGGTCATTTCGTCTAAGAATAGGACTCCTCAACAGTGCTCATCCTCCATCCCGCACGCGGAAACCTAAACCAAATCATTCAGTTTCGCACGAACATCTAGACCACTGAGTAGACATTCATCTGTGTTACAATCTAACTTCAATCAATCCACGATATCACACCATTATCTTCATCATCTTCTACTTCCGACAATTAAATCATAATCATACATAACCACCTTAATTATAAATCATCATTATTAATATAACTTCATATACTACTGATGAGAAATTTTTTTAATTAACTTACACATTTCATAAAATATTCTGCACGAAAAAGTACTCCAAACAGAATACAAATTGCATTCAATAAGATTATTGTTAAATGTAGAAAAATTACAGTTGGTAATGGTCCTGTTGAAATAAATGAATAAGTTTCATTAACATGACTTTTATAAAGGAATTATGCCGAAAGCGTTATAAGATTGATGTCAAAGATGAGTCTTGGATACTGATTTGTAATAACATAACAATAATGTAGCTCTTAATAATATTGTGATTTTGGCTACTTATATCTGTATAAGTAGTATATGGTGATGGTCAGACATCGAATGTAATTTGGTAGAAGATTGATAAGGAAAGAACTGAAATGAAGCGCAACTGGTAGGAAAATGCATAAACAATGAAATTAGAGAAGATGGATTGATATTTACAGAAGGAACAGTTAAGATTGAGACAATTGATAGTTAGTGTTATAACGTATGGACTCGTAATATATATGAACGTGCAATTAGAGAGGAGTGGATTTACTGATCGGCTCAGTGATGATGCACAAAATCGTACGAGCAGTCTTGATTGCACATTCAGAATAGTCCAATGTGACTTTATTGTTCATTAATATAAATACTGTGTATTATATTCTTCTACTTGTAGGCTTATGTTTGATGCAGAAATTATTCTTGTATGTTTTACCATTGTCAAGTTATTTATTAATTTAATACAGACCTATAACTCAGTTCTCTTCAAAATATTTATTTATTTATTTCAACACATTATTATTGACGGTAAGTGGCACCGACTACACAAGTGCTAAAAAACTTATTTGATTTCTGTGGGGGATGTAATACAGACTGTATGCATAGACCGAAGAAAGTGGTTATCATAGTGAGCCACAACCGGAACCTTCGATCTTAAGGTCTGATCCACAAAGAAGTGGAGCAACGTCAAGAGATACAGTTCCATGGTAGCCGATGTTCAACGATTGATTCATACGCCATTCACTGCTACAACGAACATGGAGCCCATATGCATCATTGGTTTGGAATCAGGGTTTACCAACCCTCTTAGGTGGATCCTTCACATCCACCAGCCCGATTAAATAGATGGAAATTCACTTATCGTCCTCTCAATTCTGAAAACAACAACCCAACTGAGAGAAGGTAGTGAGTAGGACTTCCGTGGGAGTGTCTGTATGTAATATCTGTGTTTATGTTAAGCCCACATACTTTATTCTAGCTTAGTGGAGATGGCTGGAAAGCCAACTCGCTATAAGCAAGCATTACTCAATATTTATAACCAGACAAAAATGAATGACAGACATATGATGAATAGGATACGAAGGGTACACACAATTACGCTCATATAACATATAATCAATGTTAATAAGCGAATAATGAATAAGATCAAAATATGACTCAATGTATAGGTGAATTGGCTTGGCCAAAAGCTAGAATAAAGTATATGGGCTTAACATAAACGCAGATGCTACATGTATACGGGTGACCATGTGTGAGCACTTCGAAATGAAGAGCTAACACTTTAAACCAGCGGACCTACCAGAGCGTTTGGGGGCCACCCACTTATAGTGTAGTTATGATCACAATGCGATTTCTTAAATATTTGTATGGTCAGAAATCTATTCTATATTACTAAATGAGTGATTTATGAATTCGAACAAAATAATTAAAAGCTAGTTGCTTTCTGTAATGTGATTTATTCTGGCTGTCAAGCTAGCGATCATGGGAAAATGGATTGTGCATCAGTGATCGCTCTCTTTTATTCTAGAGTGTTATCTCACTATTATCGTATCATTGATCTGTGGAGTATCATTGGTACTAGATAGAAATCCTAAGAGAATTAATCAATACTCAGATCAGATTGATGAAACGACTCTCTTGTCTTACGATTCAATCTCATTAGCACATAAATCAACTCAACAATAAATCAATTCATTTTAACCATAACACCAAGAAAATGAATTATTTGGAAGATGAACATTGTTATGAAATTGATAAAGTTCGTATTGACACATTGATTACATACATTCCTAACACTCTAAGCACATTATTTATCATCTATCTATACTAATTAGGTCATGATTATCTGACTAGTTTTCTCTAAGCAAATGTTGAAAACATCCATTGTTACTAAATCAATCAATATGAAGTTGAAATAACTTTTATGGATTAGAATAGAATAGTTTTCTTGAAGTTATGCAATATTCACTTGATATGTCTGATAAATTTACCAAAGAATTTATAATGATCACTAGTAGTAGACAATGTCTCATTGTATAATTCATAGAAATGTGGTGTGTGTTACTGATGTTGACAGGTATATAAGTAGTATGTATCATCAATCGAAAGTAAGAATGTCGAGGAAAAGAGAATGATAATAATGTAGTGAATGATTGTTGTAGAAATGAGGGTGGATTGAAGTCTGAGAAGATTTTTTTACATTTGCAAATGAAGTATTTTACTGTATGTTTCTCATATATTAGTGAGATATTCTGTAATTTTGTATTCAACTACATTCTCTTGTTCCCACTTTTGTTCTTGTTCACTACAGTATTAGTAAAAATTTGATCGAACAAGTCACAGTATGGTGACTAGACAAATACGTTTTAACTTTACGATTCATTTGTTCTACGGTAGACGGTTGAAGAGGATAAAGTGATAGTATGTTCTTTATGATAGTAGACATTAATCAACAAAGAAGATTTTAAATCTCGAGTGAACTAATGTTACTTTTTAGATCTGAACTCACATAACTTGGTGTTAAATTTGGAGACTATCACTGATTTATGAAGTTCGCGATATGAACATCAACTACACGAATGTTAACTATTAAAGAACCTAATTTTCAAAGCTTTCTACCAACTTTCTTTAATCACCTAACATGTGGAATCAATAATAACCAATTTGAATTATGTACCCTTATTTTATAATTCACTTGAGGTAGCTATAAAATGACATAAAAGTATGTGCACTATTTTAAAGAGTAAAATCAATCTCAATTAGATCTATTTTTAGCAAGGTATTCCTGGTATTCATATTTATCTAAAAATCTCTTTAATCTGATGAATCATTTTTCAGTTTATTGAGTTAGATAGTGATATGCTGATGAGAGTTATACCTCTTAATTATCGGATACGAATGTGGTTATCTTTATTCTATTATGAATCCATACGATGGTAAAAGTTATTCATTATTCGGAAATGACTGTTATGATGTTCTTTTAGTCATTTCGTGTTGATTGAACTCTGTTCATCGTTTAGATGGGGGGTTATTAATATAGATGACTCATTATCGCGTGCAATATATCAAGATCATGCTAGATGGTCTTGTTTCGAGTTCCACTGGGAACATTACCTCGCTTAAGTTTACAAGTACAGCATGTGGATGAGTGCCAAACAGGACAAAGCATAGGTTTAAACTCTTCTGCCGACCACCTCCAATCAGCTAATATCGTGCTACAATGTTGTAAAGTGACTCAACTCAGTTCTGATTTGTCATGTCACGGACCAATACGCATTTTAACACCTAAAATATGTTCCACTTGTGATGTCTGGAAATCATTTACAGGGGTTAGGATGTACTACTTTACTTCAACAAGTTTGGTGAAACTAACAAGCTTTCTCGTTAGTTATAGCTGGTTTTTTACTACTCATGAATTCTTACTTGTCGTGGATGTGCACTACTGAGGAGTCCAATAATAGAACGAAACGGCCGTCCAGTGCTTCCAGGTTTTCTACGGTGGTCTAGCTTCACTTGAATCATGATTTCAACCAAATATATAAAAAATTAGTTAAAATCTCCACAGAAAACCCCCTTGTCATATGCTCACTAGTGACTGACTCCATGTGGTGTTTCCTGGAGTTCTAGTGAGAACCAGTGACCAGTGGAGCTCAATCAGGTCTGTTGGGAGGTATGCACTCACTGAAGACATTGGTGAAATGGTTGCTCAACTTCGTGGATTGGTTGAAGTTAGATATTAACACCGTTGGATGCCGGCCAGCTCAGTGTTCTATCGGTTAAGTGTTCTGTTGCGAGACTGGTAGGTCCTGGGTTCGAATCTCGTGAGGCGGGATCGTGGATGCGCACTACTTAGGAGTCCCATGGCAGGACGAAACGGCCATCCAATGCTTCCAGGTTTTCCATGGTGGTCTAGCTTCAATTGACTCATGATTTCAACTATATTTTTTACAACTGTTGAATAGGACTGAACACACATACATGTTGCAGGTTCAGTCTCTAAATTATTTAAAGACTTTTCACTAACATCAAAGATAATGAAGCTTTAACAATGTTAACCAAGTCTCACTTGATTTCACTGAGGTTCATCTGTTGGTAAATTAATACAACAAATTCAATAAATTACTACTGTTAACAATTAATGTTTCATTGAATAGTGACCAATATCATGTATGTCAAGTTCTTCTTAGCACTTATTGAATCTGATTGGTTAAATTGCAATGTAAAACTGAGTGACTTGGTATCAAACTCGCCAATGAGCATTAGTTCTTTCAGGATTATAGATCAACCTCACTGATAAGTCTCATATATCATTAAACCTAGATTCAAAGTTTTTTGTCAACTACATCCAACCACCAACTTACTACTATTTATAAGGAAAACTTATTTCTTTGGTACAATCAAGTAGACTACTGTTCAACCTCGAATGACATCTAGAGCAAAAAATAAAAGTTTCAAATAATCTTTTTAGCTTACAAAATCTAAACAGAATATTCCTAATTGATTCCTAATTGGTTCTTTACTTTCATGATTTGTAAAGCCGTAGAAAGTTCATTAGATCATTTCAGATTATTAGTACAACAACTGAGACTTTGGTATAATTGAGATGTATACAGACGACAATTTCTAACATATTTTTATTAATTAACCGAAGAAAACATTACCAAACTTTTAAAGTTGAACAGTTCAGTTATTAGATAAGATAGATATTCAACAAAAAATTGTCTAATTCATTAAAAGTAATCAATCCGATTTCTGGCATCCCTCTATCATTTAATCAATTAAGCTATCACATAACACTAAATTACTTTACGCCTGTTACCCCCGAATGGAGTATGGGCCTCCGACCAGCATTCTCCAACCCACTCTGTCCTGGACCTCTATTTCCAGTCCTATCCAACTTTTGTTCATTCTTCTCATGTCTGTCTCCATTTCTCGACGTAATGTGCTCTTTTGTCTTCCTCTTCTCCTTTGGCCTTTAGGATTCCATGTGAGGGCTTGCCTTGTGACGCAGTTGGGTGATTTCCTCATTGTGTGTCCTATTCACTTCCAGCGCTTCTTCCTGATTTCTTCCTCCACTGAAATCTGGTTTGTTCTCCCACAGTAGGTTGTTGCTGATAGAGTCTTGCCAACGTATCCGAAGTATTTTGCGTAGACAACTGTTAATAAACAGGTGTATCTTCTGGATGATGCCTTCGTAGTTCTCCTGGTTTCCGCCTTATACAGAAAGTTAAAAACCAAACTAAATGTAACATTACATTCAATATTGTAAGTGTACTTTTACTCCTATCATACACATTAAACGGGAACCTTTAAATATCATTTCATATACTCATAAATGAGAACACTTTAAAAATAACGCTGTAGAATTTACCTCGAAGTAATCGAAATAAAAATCGAGGTTCATCACCAGTAAAATCAACGTTTGATTTGATATATTGTTCATCTACAGTTTTAATGATCCCATGAAATAAATTCTCTAGTGATTCAAATAATAAAGCAATTGGTCCAATTATATCTCGTGTTGCCATTATCTAAGTAGAAAAAAGAATTTATGCAATTTGTAAAGTAAGCAAAGATGGATAGTGGCCAATTAGAGACTGACCAGTTGCAGTCCTAACACATCGATGGGAAGATTTAAACAAACAATACTAAATGAATTTAAACTTCACCCCATTCACAAGCACGTGGCTATCAGGACTCAGTGGCTGAGTGGATAACGCGATTGCGTTTGATGCGAAAGTTACTGGGTTCGAGTCCCAGAGTGAAGATCAACTCTAAGGTGCAGGTACATTTAGCTAACGAGTCCCAAACAGGACGAAACACGCGTTCTGGATTCCACTGCTAGCCACTATCCATCTTCAACAATTGTTGTTAAGAAACAGGCTTTGAAAAAAATGAGTTCGGAAGGAAAAGGAAATTTCCCTAACTTGTGCGATCTCAAGTTTTCAAGAGTGATCTCACCAAAATCAATTCATGGTTTGTAAGATAAAACTATACTATGCCGACGGTATTATTACATGATTTGGAAGGGTGGCCTTGAGATCAACCAATCAATAGTAGCCAATGGAGTACTTGTGGATGGAACAGAAGTAGCTTATGCTCATCTAGTAACAGTGGATCAATGTTCAGTGGTCAGTTGTACAAGATAGAGAAGTTTCATCTTAATGGCTGATTTAAGTGACGCTCAGTGATATTTCTCTGACCTTACAATAACTACCGATCATTAAACTCAGGATAGATTCTCTGAATAGAAAATGGTACTTTTGTTGAGTTTAGACGCAATGAGTGTTTGAGAAATGAAAATCCCAATAAAATAATAATTCGCGTTCGTAAAGTGAGCGTTAAAGCGTCCATTATTTATGAAAGAGCTCCAAAGTTTAGAACAATAGTAAAGTTACAGTAGATTAATAGTTTTAAAATAATCACTAAAATTATTGATTATCAATAATTAAATCTAGAAATCAAACTATTTTAATTTCAATAAACTGCAACTCCGAAACCCCATTCTTAACATTGAAACTCCGATACCGTAGCTCCTGACTCTTATACTCCTAAGCATTAGCTATTAACCCTAAGACACTGACTTTAACAGTTTATTCCACAAAAGTATCATTATCCCATTCTTCCAAAATACGAAACAGTCAAGTCATTGTTCCCTGCAACAAGCTAATCTCAACAGTCTTTCAAATTCACATAAGGCCGTCAGTATGGTTTAGTTATAACATTTAAACTTTGAAAATTCTACGATCTCTACAAGCATCCTACACTAATGTTGATCATATGTTCACCAGTGAATATCTTCAAGATGTAACTCTTGGAGACAATGAGCTGTGAACAGTGAGGTTTAATCCACGTCGGTTATGCGACAGTGGTTCATCGCAACCAATCGTTAAGAGTTGAGAAATATTGTGAAATAATTGAAGTTAAACACGAACATCGTTGGATTCCAGGTCAGTGCTCTACAGGTTAAGCGTTAACATGCGAAAATGAGAGTCCTGAATCCGATTCTCAAGTGCGCAGCAGCGGATATGAACTACTGAGGAGTCCCATACCAGGGCTAAATGGCCGTCCACTGTTTCCAGGTTTTTAATTGTGGTTCAACTAAGATCAATTCGTGAATCAAATCGAAACTTCCATTTATTTTAACTTGTGAACTGTAAAACGACAGCATTGTAAGTATGAGAGGCAACTATACATTTGGTGATTATTAAGAACTGAACAAATAAATGGTTTCATAATAATTAATTTCAAAGGAATAATGACATTAGATAGGAAGACTTTTAAGGTCACGATAGAATAATATATTGAATAAATCGTTTTTATAAGCAGAGAATAAACTTGAATTGGAAGATTGCTAAAGCTTCGACTGTAGTCAAATCCCTATTGACTAGTTGTTTTTTTAATCACAGTATGAATAACTGTGAAAGCGCCACACAAAAACTATTATTATTTCATTTGTTTGTGTGAAGGCTATGATACTACCAGGGTGGTTATCATTGGGGGACCAAACTCCGGGCCTTCTACTTAAATGTCTGATCCACGAGGAAGTGGAGCAACGTAGGGAGATGCAGTCCCATGGCGGCCGATGATCAACGATTGATTCTCACGCCATTTATTCCGTCAAGAACATGGAGCACATATACACCATCGGTTTGGAATCAGGGTTTACCAACCCTCTTAGGTGGATCCTTCACATCCACCAGCCCGATTAAATAGATGGAAATTCACTTATCGTCCTCTCAATTCTGAAAACAACAACCCAACTGAGAGAAGGTTGTGAGTAGGACTTCTGTGGGAGTGTCTGTATACGCGTGACCATGTGTGAGCACTTCGGAATGGAGGGATAATTCTCCACTCCATTGATGTACCAGGGCATTTGCAGACCTCCCACTTATGGTGCAGTTATGGTGAAGTTGAGATTTCTTAAATATTTGTATGGTCAGAAATCTATTCTATATTACTAAATGAGTGATTTATGAATTCGAACAAAATAATTAAAAGCTAGTTGCTTTCTGTAATGTGATTTATTCTGGCTGTCAAGCTAGCGATCATGGGAAAATGGATTGTGCATCAGTGATCGCTCTCTTTTATTCTAGAGTGTTATCTCACTATTATCGTATCATTGATCTGTGGAGTATCATTGGTACTAGATAGAAATCCTAAGAGAATTAATCAATACTCAGATCAGATTGATGAAACGACTCTCTTGTCTTACGATTCAATCTCATTAGCACATAAATCAACTCAACAATAAATCAATTCATTTTAACCATAACACCAAGAAAATGAATTATTTGGAAGATGAACATTGTTATGAAATTGATAAAGTTCGTATTGACACATTGATTACATACATTCCTAACACTCTAAGCACATTATTTATCATCTATCTATACTAATTAGGTCATGATTATCTGACTAGTTTTCTCTAAGCAAATGTTGAAAACATCCATTGTTACTAAATCAATCAATATGAAGTTGAAATAACTTTTATGGATTAGAATAGAATAGTTTTCTTGAAGTTATGCAATATTCACTTGATATGTCTGATAAATTTACCAAAGAATTTATAATGATCACTAGTAGTAGACAATGTCTCATTGTATAATTCATAGAAATGTGGTGTGTGCTACTGATGTTGACAGGTATATAAGTAGTATGTATCATCAATCGAAAGTAAGAATGTCGAGGAGTAGTATGTTGAGAATATCGAAGAAAATAAAAAGAGAATAGTGTAGTGAATGATTGTTGTGAAAATGAGGGTAGAGTAAATTTTAAGACGATTTTTTTACATTTGCAAATTAAGTATGGGACTGCCATATCGTCCCATAATAGGATGAAACGACCGTCCAGTGTTTCCAGGTTTTCCATGGTTGTCTAGCTTCAATTGACTCACGATATGAACTATAATATTTACTATAATCAAAGATGAATAGTGGCTAGCAGTGGAATCCAGGACGCGCATTTCGTCCTATTCGGCACTCGTCAGCTGGATGCACCTGCACCTCAGAGTTGATGTTCACTCTGGCACTCGAAGCCAGTACATTTCGCTTCAAACGCCATCGCGTTATCCACTCAGCTACTGAATCCTGATAGCCACTTGCTTGTGCATTGGGGTGAACAGTTTCAGTCTTAAGCATCAATGGGAAGATTCAAACAAAAAATACTAAGTGAAGTATGTACTGTATGTTTCTCATACATTAGTGAGATCTTCTGTAATTTTGTATCCAACTATATTCATTTGTTCTCACTTTTGTTCTCATTTACTTCAGTGCTAATGTCAATGACATTTTAGGAGTAATTGAAAAGCATTAAGTAGGTGAAGATAGAGACATAAATGAGAGATGTATTTATACAAATGTGTTTGATTTTATGTTATTTCATTATTATGTCTCCAATTACTGATCATCAGTAATTACTGAAATTCACATGAACTGTATTCTTACTCTGATGCTCATATTATTTATGTGAATATTTGAGTGTGGATGCTTTGTTGAAAAACTGACCTATTAAGTTTTATAAGCAAGGGTGGATAGTGGCTAGCAGTAGAATCCAGGACGTATGTTTCATCTCGTCAGCTGGATATACCTGCATCCTGTTATTGACGTTCCAGCTGACGAGTCCCAAAAAGGACTAGACGCGCGTCCTTGATTGTACTGCTAGCTAGCATCCACCTTTGCTTATAAAGCTTGTGACTGAAGGTAATATCCAGGCAATCTGCACAGGATGCATATATGCTTAAAAGAAACTGATCATTTCCCGTACTGAAACAACAATGTGAATGAACAAACAAACAATACCATGTGAATATGACCTATTAAGTCTGGGATGAAATCATTCAGGATGATTTAGAGATGTTAGGGGCTTGTGTACAGATAAAATGTGAAAAAAGCAACCATTTTCAAGTAAATTACATTGTTCTATGAAGACGATGAAGATTACGAGAATGATTCAAGATCTCGATGATCATGAACTTTTGTTGATAGAAATACTGAACATTTATAGTTGCTTATGTTTAGTGATCACAACTAAAGATCCTTACTTTGAAAAACCTTTAAAAACTTCTTTGAACAAAGAAAAACTGATTAGCTACATTGTCCATAAATTGGTAGTCATGTGAAGGGATACGAATGATATGCATTAAATAATGTTATGTAGCTGCAATAGAGTTTTAATGATTTCAGTTCACTCATCCATTGAACAGGTCATATTGATAGTTCATACAATTAATTCAGATTTGTGTTAAAAACCATATGAAATATGGAAAATTTTATTAGTATAAACGTGTATATTCTCCTAGTTACAATATATGAACTCTATTCAATTAATATACGGAGTATAAAATAAAGGTAACCATTATCCGAATTCTAGTTAAAGGCCATTAGAAATATAGTTCAACTTTATTGTATGTGAGGTATATATCAGCAGTAGCAATAAATGATGATCGTACAACATTGTGAATAAAGTGAAGTAAATAATGTAGATCATCAGTCTAAAGTCTAAGCGTTTATTATCAAACTTAATGGTCTTTTGAAGCAAAGAAGGATAGTGGCTATCAGTGGAATCCAAGACGCGCGTTTCATCCTATTTGGGACTCGTCAGCTGGATGTACCTGCATTCCAGGCTTGTTGTTCACTCTGGGACTCGAACCCAGTACTGTTCGCCTCAAACGCCATCACGTTATCCACTCAGCTACTGAGTCCCGATAGCCACTTGCTTGTGTGATGGGGTGAGGTTTAATGGTCTTTTGTTTGATCCCTAGTAGGTTTGTAAATGTGAACAGATGAGATATCCGGGTGAGACTATAATCTATAGACAAATTTTGACCTTGACCTTGGAGAAATTCATCTGTTTACCAGGGTCAAAATAGGGTTATAAATTAATGTGTGGAATATGGATTAGGATTTAGAATTAGAAGTTAGGATTAGAAATCTCTAAGCTAGAGATTTCATTACAAACTAACATCAGTTATTATGTCAAAACTGTATTTAATCATGTGAATAAATAAATCTCATTGATTCATCCATAAATTATAGTCTCGCCTGTATTCCATATTAGGATGATATTAATTATCAGAAGGGGTTTTGTGGAGATTTAGTATATTTCATAGTTGAAATCATTAGTCAATTGAATAAATTATTAAATACTTATAGGTTTACAATAACTTTTTCAACATATGCTAACTAGTAACTGGCTTCAAAAGGTATTTCCTGGAGTTCTAGTGAGAGGAAGTGAACAGTGGAGTTCAACCGGGTATGTTGTGAGATAGTAACCTGCTAAAGACAATGGTGGAAGTGTCGCTCAATTTCGTGGATTAGTTGAAGTTAGGCATTAACATCGTTGGTTGCTGGCCGGCTAAATGGTTTAGAGGTCAAGCGTTCACACGCGCGGCACTGATAAGTCCTGGTTTCGAATCTCTCCAGGCGAGATCGTGAATGCACACAGCTGAGGAGTCCTACAATAGGATGAAACGGCCAACCAGTACTTTCATGGTCTTCCATGGTGGTCAACCTTCAATTCATGATTTATGATCTCAACTATTAAAATAACTTTTTCATTATTTTCTAAAGTCATTCAGTGATTTTAGATAATAATATGAATCTATTCAAACAAATTGAAATTCAACAAATAAACTTACAATAATATATAATGTTATAGTAGCTATCATCCATTCTAATGTCAAAATAAGAAATGTTTGTCTATCCAACCAATCATTAAACCAAAAACTAGTTTTTTTCATTATTTATTTATATTATCCAGTTTCCAGGATAACAAGATGGTTAAATTGAATCCTTGAATTAAATATCCATTTAATAAACTAAATATTTATAAAATGAAATGAAATCATTTCAGTTAGCAACCAATCATTTAGAAGAGTATAGAAAGTATGGTAACTATTGGACAGATACATATGTACACACTCAATATCATCAATTGTTATGCTTAAATTTATCTAAAGAGAATTCTAGAGTAAACAAAAAAAATAGATTGAGTAATTAGTTGTGACTAAATGAACAAATGTGATATCGTTACTTACAAGACATGGTTATCTATCTATCTATCTATCTATCTATCTATCTATCTATCTATCTATCTATCTATCTATCTATCTATCTATCTATCTATCTATCTATCTATCTATCTATCTATCTATCTATCTATCTATCTATCTATCTATCTATCTATCTATCTATCTATCTATCTATCTATCTAACTATCTATCTATCTATCTATCTATCTATCTATCTATCTATCTATCTATCTATCTATCTATCTATCTATCTATCTATCTATCTATCTATCTATCTATCTATCTATCTATCTATCTATCTATCTAACTATCTATCTATCTATCTATCTATCTATCTATCTATCTATCTATCTATCTATCTATCTATCTATCTATCTATCTATCTATCTATCTATCTATCTATCTATCTATCTATCTATCTATCTAACTATCTATCTATCTATCTATCTATCTATCTATCTATCTATCTATCTATCTATCTATCTATCTATCTATCTATCTATCTAACTATCTATCTATCTATCTATCTATCTATCTATCTATCTATCTATCTATCTATCTATCTATCTATCTATCTATCTATCTATCTATCTATCTATCTATCTATCTATCTATCTATCTATCTATCTATCTATCTATCTATCTATTCGCATCATCTATCTGATTCGTGTTACCGATTTAACGCTATATTCGGATCCTATACTAGTCTCGTAACCCCCAAGCTGGAACTACACAGGGACTTGAACATAAAAGAAAAGGCACAAAATATGAGGGAAGCACTTAACTCCAAAGGTTTCTTTATGTTAAAAAATATAGGGTTTTTATAGTATTTAGAAATCCTTGAGTTTTTCTGAAAATTCTAGAATACTACTAAACATAGTAGCAGTGTAGTAATCAGCCAATTATGTGACTTTTCATTTTTGCGATATTTCTAGTAAAACTTCTAATCAAACGCTGATTGGATAAAATGCTTCTTAATGTTTCCTGAGCTTGTCGTGTCTATTGCGAGAAATTTGTAGGAAAATCCCAACACTATCCACACTATCTATCTATCTATCTATCTATCTATCTATCTATCTATCTATCTATCTATCTATCTATCTATCTATCAAGCTACGTGTCGGTTACAATATCGCTCAATAAAAAAACAATCTTTTATTAGTAAGCGACAACTAGATTGTTCTGAGTGTCATAAAATCCGATATAGATTTTGTTAGAAGTAATTACGTACTTCTATTCAATTGATATAAGTAATGAATAGAATTTTAATTTTATTTTAGTCATAATACAAATTACTACTTTATTCAGTAGTAAAACTGTTACACAATGAAAAATCGTCAATGGCAATTATGTAGCGAATTTTCATTCAACATATATTCAAATTGTTTATATATAAATGAAATCATTAGTCAATTGAAGAAAGCACTGGACGGCCGTTTCGTCCTATTGTGGGACTCCTCAGCAGTGCGCATCCACAATTCCACCTGGTGAGATTCGAACTCAGAACCTATTAGTCTCGCGCGTATGAACGCTTAACCTTTAGACCATTGAGTCGACCGGCAAACAACTCCAAACAATCCTTGAAATTGAACGACACATCCACCATTGTCTTCCGTGGGTTACTATCTCACAACAGGCCCGGTTGAACTCCACTTGTAGTGAACAAGAACACGTGTGGGATCAGTCAAAAGTATTTGACAAGAAAATTATAGACTATCTCGCTAAAATCTGATAACCATACAGCGAATAAGTAATTCACAAAATAACAATCAGTTGCCTCGACCTTGACTGTTCATCTAATTAACATCACATTCATTTGTAAACCATTTCTGAATAGTGAGTTAGTACAAAGTTATTAGTCAAAATATTAGAATCGATACTAAAATTAAACAGTGGGTAATAGTACACTGTTTTTGTGTTATTAATACAGAGACTATTGACTGACTTGTATCTGCACGTTAGTGTATGGTGATGTGAATGTCTGTTAATAATCTTCCATTCATTCGATTATCGGCATCAAAATCGACTGATCAATTATTTACCAATGATGCACACATTTATATTATACGAGAGAATTAATTAACTAATCCATGAACACGTTCTCTTCCCATATGTGGTCTGATTGCTAACGCGTGTTCTTTTCACTTGTCTCACTCATGATAAAATCGATTCCAGCCTAGCTTATATTGAGCTTCTCTATCTTTCGATTTGAAATAAGTATAATTTAATGTGGTAAACGATGCACTGCAATGTATATGAACTGAAAACGACGGTTATAATTAAGATCATGAACCGATCAAGAATAGAAAACCATTGAGAACCTGAAAGCACTTAATGGCCGTTTCGGCCTAGCAAGCAACACCTCACTAGTGTGAGTGGAGATGTTAGCAGTGGGAAGTATGTTTGAAAGTCAACTAACACAACCAAGTAGTCAACTTTGCATCACCAAATCACTATTCGAATGATAATCAAATGCAACCTCACTCTCTGATACTGTGATAGTGTGCACTCATAATGACTTCTTTCACATTTGTAACAAGGTGAAACCTGCCTCACAAAACACAGCAATTTGCACACCATACAATACTGTGGTGTTTATATGAACCAATGATTCATTTGTACTTGATGAGTGCTTGATTTCGAATTCCAAATACAGTACATTCGTTCACGTTCATCTATTACTTCTTGATTAAACTGAGTTATTTCTGGGATTCCTAGTTTATACTATAATTCAAATACTCCTAATTATCACATTGGCGTCGTGATGGAGCCTGTGATGGAACGTTGGACATACATTCAGATTTTGATGATTTCGGGGATTACATGGAAAGGTTCCATATCTGGACTATGACCAAGGAAGATGATGATGATTTCAATATTGTGGCTCATATCCTTACATTCATGGCAAAAGAAGCACACAGTTCAATAAAAACTTCGGCATTTCCAGACAAGCCGATTTCAATCTCTTATGCAACTCCCAAGCAACTAATACTGGACCATGTAAAGTATACAAATTTCGAATGAGGTGAACGAGAGTTGATGGGTTTTTTTTAATCCGCTTAGTTACAGCAATATTTAATGCAGGATATTAGAAGAAGAGGTCACTGAAGAGGTGTCTGTGAGTTCTCACACAACCGAGTATCATCCATACAACTTTGACTGAGAACTCAGCAAAATCTGACTGCAGTAAACTGACTTGTATGTAAAGTTAAACAGGTCATTCAGAAGTGGTCCCCTACAAATAAGTGAAAGTGCGTTCCTGTAGATTGTCCGATCAACTGAATCAGTTTGTGTGAGTGGTGTGATTGAGTGACAGCCATACACAGAATCTCAACTGTCGACTCAATGCTCTCAATGAACAGACATCAAAATGCAGAGTAACTTGTCAACAAAATTGGATCTTATCGTACAGTAAAGCACACTCTCGTAAACGAAATCATTGACACAAATTAGACATGATTAAAATTCAAAGTCAGAACGTTGATGAGTGAAGATTTCAAATTTTGTAGATCACTCACTGACCAACAGAGTGGAGGTGTAAAATATCAGTCTCACTTGTTATGACTTCAAATGCATTAAACCACTGACTATGTTACACCTACATAATCGGATACTTGTCAACACCTATATTGATAGTTTTGTGAAATCGATGGAAATCGGTGGATTCAAAGAGTCACCTGACAATGATCAAGTGACAGTGGTTAACAATGTTGTTCATATAAAATCGACAAAACAACACTACAATCACATGACTGCACTCTGACGTGATCAACATACATAGTTCGTTTTAACTGGAATGCTAAGCAGTACATCATCACAATACATGACGTTTGATTTACATCACTGTCAACAGTAATCGATCATTTGACTACCGTGAAAATTAAATTAAACTACAATAAAAACGGACAATATATGAGTTTCTAATAATATTGTTACTATTTTTATCAGTCAAATGTTTGTTATTGCATATCTAAAATATCACTCTTTTAATCAGTAATGTACACTGTTCATTAGTTACACATTATCTTATTCTGTTCAACTTGTACGCACAGTGAGGTGATTGGCCTAAACATTTGCAAGTTAAAAGTTGTGGATCGGAACACAATTCGCTCTACTTTATTTCGAACAGTAACAAGTTATTGCGAATGGGATTTACACTGAAGCTGTGATGGTCAGTGTCAAGCTGAATTAATGAATCAAGAACTATTTCCTGTTCATCAACATCACCAGCATCATTTATTTCTAATGAAGTGTAAGAATGGTTCTGTTTACCACTGCAGACGTTAATACAACGATGTTCACGGATAATAAAACAACAATCATATGTTATTTCACGATTTGAATATCAACAAATTAGACCATCAATTCGAATATCGCTTCACATAATCCTGTCTGAGTGTAGTCAGTTGAAGTCTACACCACATAAGCCGCCTCCTGGTCATACGTCGAACACGAAAATATGTCACCTGAATTCAGATCGAACAAGTGACCTGCATCACAGTGTTGAATTAACCTAACAACTCAAAATCACACACGATTGTGTCATTTTCACGATAAAACTACTTCGTGGTATTCGCAATCTCTTGAACCGGTCAGGCACACAGGTTATTAAAATCAAGCAGTCAGGACTCTGTAAAACCCAACGAACATCAATGACTTCACATAGATGTGAAACACTACAGATCACAGTGGACACTCGAATAAATATAAGAATATATCAGAATGAATGTGAGATGTTGTTTATATGGGAAATAATTTCACACTACAGATTCATGTGTACAACAGCATACAGATGTCTAGTCACATAATACGATCACGGTGATCAATGAAGAACGATGTAAAGTCTACTTTTGATTAACCTTGATCCCATGTTGACCACGTTTCCAGTTCACCGGACACACTTCACCATGCTTCTCCACAAATTGGAACGCGTCCAGTAGTCGTAATGTTTCATCTACAGATCGTCCAACTGGCTTGTCATTGATCGTGATTTGACGTAGAATTCCATTCGGATCAATGATGAATAAACCTCTGAAAAGGAAGGAACAATGAGGACAATAGTAAGTAGGAGTATAGATGAACGCGTATCTCTGTGTAAGTCGATAACTAATGCTCTCGATGAAATAAGTGGTGATTCAAGTGCCTAGATTCGGTTGTCGTAATGAGCGTTGGGTTCTACTCGTCAGAAAGTTCATGAAGAACCAGAGCTTCTGTAATGCCCCAAAAACACGTTTCGCTGTGTCCAATCTAAAAACACATCGACTGATTATATATTCGAGAATACGGATCGAATGAGGATCTGGTTTAGTAAACATCCACTTGTCATCACATGAACAATATGTTAAAATGCAACAAACAGTAAAACAGTGTAACCTATCAGAGAACATAAAATATCCTTGACTATACATAGACGTAGACACTGAGAAACCAGTAAAATACTAAACTGAAACGTTGTTTGACGAAGATGCTTGCAGCCTGTCACAATTATTCCAGTCTCCTACTCAAACGGGAAACTAAACACATTTCGTCCCACATGTTTGTCAATCTGATTCTCAAAAGAGATGAGCGACATTGCAGCGAATTCAAGACAACAAATCGCACGAAAATAAACACAACACTCACCTGAATGCATTACCATCCTCTTCATCGAATACACCATATGCTTTGGAAATCTCCTGTTTACGGTCAGCCAACAGAGGAATTTTCATATGACCCAATCCACCCAATTTACGATCCAAATTGTCCCATGCAAGATGACTGTATTGAGAATCTGTAGAACAGGCGATCACTTGACAATTTCGACTGTTAAACTCCTCCACCTGATCACTGAACGCGATGATTTCGGTGGGACACACGAATGTGCTGTAGAAGAATGATGAAGATAAGAATCACTGCAATAGTGAAACAACATGCACTACATACACGTATTCAGACTATGCATACTGGTTGAATAGTGAGCAACTTGAATATGTAATGCGATATGTAGCGATTCAACAAATAATTCAATAGTCACTCAGTCAGTTCGTTAGTTAGACACATGCGTGTCAGTTCAACCACATTGAATAAGTCCTCATCATACGTTATCAAGTGAACGACACATCTGTTCATCATCGGTTAGTCACTCAGTTCCGATTTTGAGTTTCACACTGCTAACTAAGAACTTATCTCAGGAGAATACTGCACTTTGTGAAATATGGTAACACACATTTACTATGACATCTAAAGGAGGAAGTCGCTTAGATGTTCAAAACAGTTAAGGGATCAATAATCAATATCAGAATCTAGTTTGCATAAATAAACTGCAGTCAAAACGGAGATTGCCACTGTAATTCGTGATCAATTTCCTCGACATTTTATTTCAATCCACAATGGGCATTGAGAGTGCACATCACTGTGGAGAGGATTCCTCACAGAAACTCGTTATCAATTTCGTCTATTCGTCAGCACACTCACGTCTATTATGGCCATCTTCCTACCAAGTCCACTCTCAACAAATAAATAATCGCATCAGTGAAAATACACTCGTCAGCAGTGTTCATTATCAAAACTCAGATAAGTGAAGCCAAATGAATGATTAGCCATAACACGGTTCAAATACTCCCGATGAGTATATCAACACATTTGAGACCATATGAGAACAGATATTCGCAGTCAGTGAACATAATATAATCATTCACTAAATATATCCACCCAAATTGCAAAGTCGAATCAAGACAAACAACATCCACACTCGAAAATATTGTCAGAAACAAGAAGATCAATAAATCGTCTGATCTCTATAAAAGATTATTTTAGAATATCTAGAAACTCCGACGAGTCGAAAATCGCATACACAGGTCCAACACATTATAAGAACAGACGGTAACAACAAATATGCATTTATTCAACCAGTGGAACAAATTCGGTTATTAAGAATATGTAATCGGTTTGAATGGAATGGGTGAGTGAATTTATGCAATCGAATACTATGCAACTACCACACAACAAACATGCACAATTACAACTTACAAATCAGCTGGATAGAAGAATAATACAACATATTTTCCTCGATAATCCTTCAAACAGATCTCTTTGAATTCACCATTAATCACAGCCTGTCCTTTGAATTCTGGTGCAGGTCTATTAGGCAACAATACCATGGTCAGTGATTACCAAACTCAAAGTGAATTGTCTGTCTCTCCAATCATGTTTCCATGTTTATATACATTTCGAGTAACACAACAACCTTGAACATAATTGGTTCTAATTTTCACTGTGAGTCGATTGTGTTGATTTAGTGGAGTCAAATATCAATCACATTACAGCATGTTTCGTCATCTCTCTTGTAACACACGTAGCCACTGGTTGATCAGTTCACATTAGAATCAACACGTCCATTCACACAATATTTGCATACACGTAACGAATGGATTTCATATTCACTGACTATGATTCAGTGAGTGCAAACTATTTGAAACGAAATACAAGTAAATTATTGTGTCACAACCATTGAGTGCAATCACATGTTGTTTGGTTAAAGATCAATTGCAAAACGTAAACAAAGAAAAGAACTGAATGAGAATGACACGTGATTGAGTAATTGAGGAAAATATTGACAATTCATTTAATGATCTGACTACACACTACTCACAAACTCTTCAATGCATATCACTAAGGTCCGATTAATTGATGGCAATTTCACACTCATTTCAGTCAACATCAAAGACATTCAAAACACAACTTCTTAGAGAATTCCACAAATCAGATATTGATAAGGCGTCTCACGATGTGGCTGAAAAAAATAAAATTTTCCAAACCACTCGGTTAAAAACAGAGAACGGAATTTGCGAGATGCATATATTGAGAAAGATCAAAAGATACCAAAATAAAAAAAACTATTAGCGATATCAGAGTTAACCTTTGGAAAATTTAAGAAGTGAATCACTTCATGGGAATTCTGTATATCTGCACAACACAAATATACATAACCGTATATCATAATTACCTAAACGCACTCTCTGTAATATAATGTAGATTGATTTTGTTGTATCCCCTGGCGAATTATGAATCATAAATCTGATGTCCATTTATGGACAAATGTAATACGCCTATTCCTATTGGATAGTTGTTAAATGAGTAACCTAAATCTGATGTCTATTTATGGACAAATACAATATGCCCATTCCCTATTGGATAGTTGTTAAATAAGTGACCTAATCGTTTCCGTGTTCCTCTTATCACAACCTTTGTTTTGACCTTGGAACTATTATTATTGATTATTTTCCCCCTAGCTACAGCCACATTGGCCAATTACTGTACAAATGTTATTTTTCTATTTTTTGGTATAATTGGGTCTGTTTGATTAGTATATATAACCCAGTGTGCTTGTGAATAATGATTCATATTTCCGAGGCTGTTATTTGTGTTCTGGACTTAACGGGCTGGGCTAGGCAGATAGGAAGGACCGAATAGCACCCAAGACTGCTCGTACGTATTTTCTGTATCATTGCACGTTTCATATACAATAACGAATTGTTATACGAGTCATAACAAATTGGCGACGGGGATTCTGGAAAAAAATACAGCAGCCGCTGACGTCATTTCGGAATTAAATAATCCATAATAATTGCCGGTGTTTTTTTGGATTATTATTATTATTTGCATAAAAAAATATGGCTTTAACTTGCGACCAATTTCAGTTGCTAATCCAGCGACAAGAGCAGTGCTTCAAAAAGAGTCAATTGGATTTCATTGACAAATTACACGCGAAGCTGCTGAATCACCCATGCTTTGGGGGTGAAACGGAAGTTGACGCAATAATTTCAAAATTGCGTACAGAGCTGGAAAACAATTACAGAACTAATGAATATGCCGGCGAAAGCCTCAATGAATCCATACAAAGCAATAATTTAAGCGTAGCAGTTATACATGATCAGCCCAGTATCCCAGTACTACCTGTTTCAGAGACATTCCCTGTACACGGTCCAAGTCTTATTAATCCCGAAATTGGACGTACAAACAATGAATTATCCTATTCACAGAAAGTAAATGTCTTGCAAAATGCTCATGAAATTGCTGCAGTACCCGCCCACGAAGAAACGGGAAACAAATCGAGCAGTGTATTGAATACAGAGGCGCCAAATGAAATTAATCGTGATACGAAAAATGTTTCTAATGATCAAAATTCTGTAATTGTTCTACCAGATTTAGATTATTTTGATGATTCATATGTTTCTGTTGAATTCTCTTATAAAAATGAGAGAAAAATGTCAGATGTATTTAATGATAATCAAGAATCTAATACAACTCTCATAGATACTGATTATCCTAATGATTCATTATCTACTAATGAGGTTCCGAGGAAATTCAAGAAAACTATTTCAGAAGAATCAAATGTTGGTGACCTCGAATCAAATGTCGTCGATCCTCATGATCTCGTCAGTTCTAATGCATTCCCTGTTAAATGTGACAAACATATCGCATTAATAGTAACTTGGCTATATGAGGATCCAACAGTCTTTCGTGGGGGAGGGTGAATTCGAGGAAATTAAAAATCCGGATATCAACTCCGGATTTCTCAAAAAGGGGAGGTGTTGTATCCCCTGGCGAATTATGAATCATAAATCTGATGTCCATTTATGGACAAATGTAATACGCCTATTCCTATTGGATAGTTGTTAAATGAGTAACCTAAATCTGATGTCTATTTATGGACAAATACAATATGCCCATTCCCTATTGGATAGTTGTTAAATAAGTGACCTAATCGTTTCCGTGTTCCTCTTATCACAACCTTTGTTTTGACCTTGGAACTATTATTATTGATTATTTTCCCCCTAGCTACAGCCACATTGGCCAATTACTGTACAAATGTTATTTTTCTATTTTTTGGTATAATTGGGTCTGTTTGATTAGTATATATAACCCAGTGTGCTTGTGAATAATGATTCATATTTCCGAGGCTGTTATTTGTGTTCTGGACTTAACGGGCTGGGCTAGGCAGATAGGAAGGACCGAATAGCACCCAAGACTGCTCGTACGTATTTTCTGTATCATTGCACGTTTCATATACAATAACGAATTGTTATACGAGTCATAACAAATTGGCGACGGGGATTCTGGAAAAAAATACAGCAGCCGCTGACGTCATTTCGGAATTAAATAATCCATAATAATTGCCGGTGTTTTTTTGGATTATTATTATTATTTGCATAAAAAAATATGGCTTTAACTTGCGACCAATTTCAGTTGCTAATCCAGCGACAAGAGCAGTGCTTCAAAAAGAGTCAATTGGATTTCATTGACAAATTACACGCGAAGCTGCTGAATCACCCATGCTTTGGGGGTGAAACGGAAGTTGACGCAATAATTTCAAAATTGCGTACAGAGCTGGAAAACAATTACAGAACTAATGAATATGCCGGCGAAAGCCTCAATGAATCCATACAAAGCAATAATTTAAGCGTAGCAGTTATACATGATCAGCCCAGTATCCCAGTACTACCTGTTTCAGAGACATTCCCTGTACACGGTCCAAGTCTTATTAATCCCGAAATTGGACGTACAAACAATGAATTATCCTATTCACAGAAAGTAAATGTCTTGCAAAATGCTCATGAAATTGCTGCAGTACCCGCCCACGAAGAAACGGGAAACAAATCGAGCAGTGTATTGAATACAGAGGCGCCAAATGAAATTAATCGTGATACGAAAAATGTTTCTAATGATCAAAATTCTGTAATTGTTCTACCAGATTTAGATTATTTTGATGATTCATATGTTTCTGTTGAATTCTCTTATAAAAATGAGAGAAAAATGTCAGATGTATTTAATGATAATCAAGAATCTAATACAACTCTCATAGATACTGATTATCCTAATGATTCATTATCTACTAATGAGGTTCCGAGGAAATTCAAGAAAACTATTTCAGAAGAATCAAATGTTGGTGACCTCGAATCAAATGTCGTCGATCCTCATGATCTCGTCAGTTCTAATGCATTCCCTGTTAAATGTGACAAACATATCGCATTAATAGTAACTTGGCTATATGAGGATCCAACAGTCTTTCGTGGGGGAGGGTGAATTCGAGGAAATTAAAAATCCGGATATCAACTCCGGATTTCTCAAAAAGGGGAGGTGTTGTATCCCCTGGCGAATTATGAATCATAAATCTGATGTCCATTTATGGACAAATGTAATACGCCTATTCCTATTGGATAGTTGTTAAATGAGTAACCTAAATCTGATGTCTATTTATGGACAAATACAATATGCCCATTCCCTATTGGATAGTTGTTAAATAAGTGACCTAATCGTTTCCGTGTTCCTCTTATCACAACCTTTGTTTTGACCTTGGAACTATTATTATTGATTATTTTCCCTCTAGCTACAGCCACATTGGCCAATTACTGTACAAATGTTATTTTTCTATTTTTTGGTATAATTGGGTCTGTTTGATTAGTATATATAACCCAGTGTGCTTGTGAATAATGATTCATATTTCCGAGGCTGTTATTTGTGTTCTGGACTTAACGGGCTGGGCTAGGCAGATAGGAAGGACCGAATAGCACCCAAGACTGCTCGTACGTATTTTCTGTATCATTGCACGTTTCATATACAATAACGATTGTTATACGCTCATAACAGATTTTAACGTGGAATTTCGTCAAAGGCATTTTCAATGTAAATTACGACAAACATTTAGGACAATCCATGTGGATTGTTCGATTTATTTCGTTGTCATTTACTTGTCTGCCTGACTGTTCGTCTATTTGTTTGCTTGTTCGCTTGTTTGTCGACTGATGATTGCTGAATCCCTACCTCTTTCATTCTGTGCACAGCTCACACCGGTCTCGCAACCAACACCAAATTCAATCGTCACATAAAATACACAATCTCGTTATCAATTCTCCGTTTCACACTGTTTCGTGAAACATGGATCAGTAGAATGTGCGTGACTAGACAATGTGAGGAGGTTTCACACTGATTCATTTTCAGCGTCACAACAGGATAACGTATCTCCACCATAATGTACTCGTTCAATCAACCGGTTTCTAGAGCTCTTCTTCTCTTCAGTTCGTCCATTTCCTGAAACACATGCACACAAATATGACTGGGAGGAAATCGTTCCGACCGTTCATTCGACATCAACAATCTATATAAACCAACTTCGTGTGAAATGTGAAGCCTCCGTTCCACACTTTTGGTGCACATGAAACCAATCATGTCAAACTGGTCTAATAAACACTCACATCAAATAGCATGAATAGATGAGTGTCAAAAATCTGTCGTTCGTCACATCTCATGATGGGTAGGTTGACCTGTTTGTTATCTCTGTGACCGTCCACAATGTAATCATGGACTGCCACACAATTTTGATCAAAACAAATACAATTTAAATATTGTGTTATCCATAATTCGATATTGTCAATTGTCAACACAATTTCAACACACAATCTTTTAAGGGCACTT